GATGTAGGTCGAGTAAAATCACCACGCAGCTTTTAGTTGCCCATATTCTTGCTTTACTCGTGTGTCCTTTCACTCAGGTTGGAATGCGATGCTCTTCTTGAATTGCTTCCCGACCTCGCAGCTAACTTAATCAGTCTCTACTTAATCGCTCCCGATCATGCTAAGGAAGCCCTCTCGAATGTGTTTGTCCTGCGCCGGTAGGGTGACTTTTGATGAATGCTCTTTCCTCAATCGCGCCAACTCAGCACTTCATTTCAATTTGATATCGTTCGGTTTTAGAGATCAATTGGAGGGCTCACTGAGACAACTGTTCTTTCTTCCCAACTTGCCAGGGTTGGAAGAGTTTCAACCGATCCTCAGCACAGTGTGTCCTTGGTGAGTCTTACTCGTGTCTGCTTTCCCCTTTACCAAATGGTTCTTTCCTCAAAATGCCTGACACCCTTTCTGGGTGCCACCTCGAAACCCGCTGGATCCATTCACACACTGAATACACAATAAACACCCATGTGGCTTCATTTTGCTGCTTTTAACTGCCACTAGAATGACACAACACATTACTGGACGTCTACCACGGTGCCTTTTGGCTTCTTCCAGTGTTATGGTGACTGGGTGAATTCAAGGTAAAAATAACTTGCCTCTGACATCCGTTTCGTGTTTTGCTCCAGTTGGGAGTTCAATCCAATCCATGCAACGCAGGAATGAACGCCCTACTAGCTTGCTATGGCGAATCATAGAGGCGATTTATGAGTGTCAGCACTGACCCCCTCTGTAGCACCGTCGACGTGTTTGCTGGCGGTGGTCGGTTGTTTTACTGTAGCACTTTTTACAGCTGCGTGATCAACTACTGGCCAATGAGTCAAGCCTTAAGTTACTTGGCCACTAATGGTGGGTGTGAAAGTGCACGTGTCTAATTAACGCAGTGTTTTTGATGCTTTTTGTAGGCGTGATCTGTGCCTTCCGGGTGCACCTTATCCAGACCCATCAGAACTCCAGTTGGCACCTCCTGACAACTTTGCCGATCTGCTGACGGCATGGCTTTCAGCGTTGAGTCACTCGAGTCGCCCTGTTCGTCGCATCTGCCTGGCGTCTCTCGTGGCGAATGCCGGTGGCG